TAAACAACGAGCAATGTTTTTTAATTCAGTTTTTCTTTCCTCTGACCTGATTCTAATAGGCACTTTTTCCATTCCAGACCTGGAATTGAATGGGAAAGACTTCGAATTATATGAAGACATTTGTAAAGCTCAAGTTACTACAAACTCGGAAATTCAAACACGTTTTACAAATCTTTGGAAAGACTATCATACTTTGTTTGGTTATAATAAATATCATTATTATAAAAAATTAAAAAAGCGAGAAACTTAGAAGTTACGAATCTGATTTAAAAATTGTTTCCAAACCGTGCTTTAAAATAATTCAACTATCAAGAATTTTTTTTAACACAGACCAAAAGTAAGTGAAAACACCTGACATATCAATGATTTAATGCTATTAACCTTACACGTTTCTAATTTAATGCTTTCAGGCTCCTCATTTCAAACAAACAATGAGAAATACTCAAACGTGAGAAAGTACTGAAACAATGAGAGAAATATATTAAGAATTTAGCCATAAATGTCTAATAACGTTTCTCAAAAGTATAAAATTTTATAAAACAAAAACATTACAAGAATCAAAACGAATCGTATTTATTTTATAATTACCTTGTATTGGGGAAATCAGTATTACCTTAGCCTAAATTTATATTTCTCCTTCCCCCACCGAGTTTATAATCTCGGTTGATAATCGTCTCTTTCAATATCTTATTTCACGTATAATGTAGTTATGAATCAGCTCTCTTACAGTTCCTTCTAAAGCAAGTTGCTTTTGTTTTGTACATGTCTTTGTTATTTGAATAACCTAATTAATTATAAATCCCCATTTACTGAACGTTGAAAATTTCATGAAATTAAAAATGTTCTGGAAATTTTGAATTTTTTTTCGCTGTAGTGTTTTCGAATATTTGCATACAAAGTGCATCTTTGAAGTTATAAGGTTGTATAGTAATTGATGCGCTGATATGGAGCAAATATCATTTCACGGCAAGTACAAATTATAGACAGTAACAATGGCATCTTAATACTGTACAAAAAAGACATCCTGAAACGGAAATTTTTCATTCGGAAACTGCTTTTACTCGTGCCTTTTTTATACTGAATATCGAGTTATGCTTCCCGTAAGAAAAAACTCATACCAACACGTCTCAGAATTCGATCGTAAAAAAAAAAAAGTAGCTCTCCGGGATTGCAGATTACCGAACCTTGCAATGACTGCTTGCTTTAGTCCCGATCCAATCACTGGAATGTGAATTTGCAGTTGGTGGGTTCAAAAGACTACCACAAAGCTACAAATATAACTGAGAAACACAGCTCACTTGATAATTCTTTCGTCAGCTCCTTCCGAAGACGAAGGAATCGCGAACTACTATTTATTATGTACTAACACTATGAGCGCCATGTCAGTCACCATGTCAGGGACACTATATTTTCCGTACGAACAACGTCATTTATCGGCGACTGACAATATTCACTGACGATATATTATGTAAAAAATCATATGCACCTATCAAATTCAACACAGATCTCCGGCCGCCAGCATATCAGTAAAAATGGCTGTCGTAGACTAAACGGAAAGGAAGATTAAACAGGCTTTGGTGCTTAACGTGTTAATTATTATTTAACGTTCATCGATATTTTTGTGTACTTAACGTGTTAATTATTATTTAACGTTCATCGATATTTTTGTTTTACTTTTGTATTAATTTACGTTTGGTTCAATTATTTTGTTTTCTAAGTTTTTGCTTCGATTGCTTTTAATCTGTGTCTTCCTGTTAGTTTACTACTATTGGCTGATTACAATCCTGTATATTTTATCGCTTTGTTCGGTAATATGCTACCATAGCTATCGCTAATTACAATAGCCACGTCTAAGTGACCAATTTCAATTCAGGCCCATCTTTTACACTGGTCACTGATATGCATGACAATGTGTTATTCACAATCCTCTTGAGCCACAGCTAAAGGTGCCGTCATTTTTAGAAAATTCTGAAGGAAGGTGGGAGTGACTGAGATGTTCTTTCTCAGAATTACTGCAAGATCAAATAAGTATTCGGCAATGCTTTTATTTCCTTAAATTTATCCTTAAATGTAGAGAGGATCTTAAATTCGAAAACTGCTTATTTAGAGTAAATACGGAATTTAAAATTTATTTGCTTGACTGATGTCTGCTTTTTAACTGAATATTAAAAAGAGCAAAAGCGGGTTTTTTTTTTTTTTTAACTATTTTTAATATGCTAATAATGCTTTTCATTGCCTTTCGAATAAACAAAATCTGCCCACAAAATATTTAACATATATTTAACAGAACTAAATAAATAGATTTTTTTTCTTTAAAAACAAACTTGAATTTATAGTGTATTCTTATGATTTGCTGTACTTGAATAATAGAGTAACTTAGCGATAAAATTACCACATAGTTTTTTGACTTCATGTAATTGCATTATGTTCATGTAATTACGCATTTTTACTCTTAATGAGAATAAACAGTACTTTTTGTTGAACTAAACTAATGAATATACCGTTTTTCTTCGAAAAGAGGAACTACTTGCAATTTATCCGCTATAATTTGCATAAATATTTCTATAATTTTTTAATCAAGTAAAACAGACTTCTTTACACTTATTTTTAACAATGAAAACAGTACCTCAATTATTCCATTTTAAGTAAGTATTAAAAAGCAAAGTAATTAACCTGGTGTAAGGAAAAATATTAAACTTAAAATTTAGCTACATATAATTTTTTTTTTTTTTTTTTTTTTTTTTTTTTTTTTTTTACAATTGAAAATACGAATAAATTTTAATAATTTTCTCCTGATGTACCTTGCATTTTATTGAAATCGGGATGTATATTACAGATGAAAGAAATGGTTTATTGCTTCGCAAGTTTGAAATCTGTCTATTCGTTTTGCATAAGTGGATTATTAAAATATCTTCTCTGTCTACACGTCGGAACTAGCAACTTAGCAATCTGAAGTGGAATTTTAAGTTCGTATTGAAGATATTTAAACATTCGTAATAAAGGTTCTAAAAGTACTTATTAAATATCAGTTGTCATCCTTTCCTCCAAAAAATCTTGTTTTCTTTTGTTCATTAGTGTTATCGGATAATGCTTATGCTTTAGTTTATCTCAGCTGAGATTGCAAAATGTTTAAATATTAGTCACAGGCAGTGGAATTAATGTTAATAATGAAAGTTCAGTGTTAAAGAGATCAATGTATCTCTTTTACACTGAACTTTCATTTCACCACTCGCGATAGAAATATTATCACTTCAAAAGGCTTTCCTGGCTCTCTCGCCGCGAAGAAAAGAGAACACTATATTGCCTTAGATCATAATAAACTAATTTATAGGAACTGGAAAAAGAATGTTTGCTGCTGGTGTCACCGATAAGGATTTAATTGAAGAAGTCTTATTGTCTGTCCTATGTCCTTCGTTCAACCGATCACACAGAGTAGCCCGATAAATTTGAGTTAAACAGGACGTCACAACACTAAGATCAGCAGAGGTCAGCATTGTTCAGTGAAGCGACTATTATCACTTCACAATGACTTACGTTTAAATGATATGAATGGGAGAAAAACGGAGGTCACTTAGAGGAACGAAAGGTCACATAGAGAATTTGATATTTATTAATGACTACAACGTAACTTAAAATATCCTTGGGTCTGCGAAAAGTTTTATTTGCTTTTTAATATAAAAGATAATTATTAGGAAATAAATATGAGTTATAGCATGTTAATGCGACAATTGGGCCTAAAGAATTTTTTATTTTTTTTGCTTTTATGTTTCACGCAGGGAAAAAATTGGTTACAAAATTGATTTATCCTGACAGAATTCCAGTGTTTTACCTCCTAATGTGTAATAGTTGCAATTTCATTTCGAATGCAGTCGCTCTCTAACTTAATTTTTTTTACAACACCATTTTGAAGTTTTCTTTGCTCTTCGATCATACCTTGCTGTTTTCGTTTTCGAAGACAGTATAAAAATTTTAAATTGAAATTTTGAAAGATTTAGAAACAGTAAGAAAACTTGAAGCCCCTTGAGAAAACGTCAGATACATAAATGCTGAGAACGTTCCTCCAAATATGATGTTGCCAGATTAATAGTTTTCCTAAGGAAGTGCAAAAGTCGCACTGCTCTCATACAGAGACAGCATTATTATATGATGTGAAAAAGCAAGTTCGTTTTAGTAAGTATTATTAAAACTGTTGGATATTAGTGATATAGCTTATAAGGTATTTCTCCCGCCTTCCTGGTGCAGTGGTCAGCACATTGAGTCGGTATTTCAGAGGTCCGTGGTTCGATTCCCGGAATAGGCGTTGCTAATTTTTCAATCTCCCTTGCTTCCAAAAAAATCCTAATGTCTCTACAGTGGCGCCCGAACCAAAAGGGTGTTGGATGAGGACTCACCACACCCAGGATTTGGCGATTGGGTCGCCTAAAAACCACAGTCGCCCTTTAGAAGGAGGAGTATATAAGGTATTTCTCCCGTCTTCCTAGCGTGCCTTCGTGGTGTAGCGGTATTTCCTGAGCCGGTATTTCACAGGTCCGTGGTTCGATTCCCGGCGAAAGCGTTGCTAATTTTTCAATCTCTCTTGCTTCCTAAAAATCCTAATGTCTCTACAAGCTTTTCATCATTCCAAGGGTACTACGCACGATTGGTTGGTTTTGGTTTATTCGATTACCGCAAAACACTCGAGGGCTATCTGCCTAAGGGGAGGGATGTCTTCGCGGAAGATCTTCGCGGAAGAAGAAGGGAAAATGGCTCGTATACACGTTACACATGGGGAAAAACACGAAATCGCCCATGCAGCCAGCCCGTTCGCGGGATTCGAACCTCGGACCAGAACTACCAATGTTTAGCGACTATACCGGTTTGCCGCTGGTGGGCCTTACGCATGATTGGCATTAATCATGTTTATATAACACAATTTATACAATGTATTATATATTTCACATTATATGTACTGATTATCTGCGCATGTTAATGATTTTTTTTTTTTTCTTTTTACTTGACAGATCCTTTTCTGTACCTTGAACACCCACAAAGTGGATATGTCAAAGTTATTAGGAGGTCAAATAGGTTTGGATGATTTCATCTTTGTACATCGCAAAGGCCAAGCAAAAGAAGTCGAAATCACAAAGAATGAAGATGCATTGGGGCTTACTATCACAGACAATGGTGCTGGATATGCCTTTATAAAACGAGTGAAAGAAGGCAGCCTAATACATGGACTAGGATACATACAGGTAAAAGAGAAAAAAAAAAAAAAAAAAAAAAACCCCACTTTCTTCTGAAATAAAATAAAATTGATTCGGAGATTATTTAGTAATATAGGTTTCCGCATGCATAATTAAAATAGAAGATTACGATTCAATCAGAGTATTAAACGAAAGCCAACAGAGAGTATTCAGGAATCATTACAATTTTATAGACAGTAAATATGATGATACAATGGTTGGACTGATGCTGACATGCTTGGGTTAACTGATTTTTACTTTGTGCACGCATTTCAATTTAAGATGTACATTAAGTATACAGAATCTACATTTTACCGCATGGTTAAAGAAGCCAGTGACACCAAAGACTGAAGAAAGAGACCATCTCGTCTGGGTTTGCAGTTTAAGAAGCTAATAATTCTAATATAAGTTATATTTTAGTTTAGCAATATTAATCTTGTCCTTAATAGCTTAATTAAATGAGTCCTTAATAGCTTTGTTCACATTTTAAATTCGTATATATATATATATATATATATATATATATATATATAAACTTTACTTCTGTTTATAATAACATCTGTATGTTATGGTGTATTTCATACTGTGCTGGTATTGCCCAAGTTGTCGATCAGCGTAGCGTATGTTTCAACTCTTAGTTTCATGTTCTTGCACATGTCAAAGGATGAAACAAATTACCACCTTATTTATTTATTTATTTATTTGCAACGTAAATTTAATTCCTTGATCATTTTAATGCATTATCTGGCAGCATAATGCAATTAAAAGTTTAATCACGTGAAACTTATAAATGCAGTAATTGCAGTTATGTCGTTCAGGCTTCCTTTCATTTCAGTCAGTTTAATTAAAATAATTACTCCCGGAAATAGCTATTCAAGAAAAATAATCACCGCTTAGTGAACTCTTGTATATAAAAACAGTGATTTTCGCATGTCCCATTCTTGTTCTCTTTGCATTCTTTTTCTTTGGTATTTGTGATTTGTTGTTTTTAACTGTTTTGTTTGTAAGTGCTCCTTAGTTGTGGTAGGACTTTACATTTCAGTTGACTTTTATATTCAATTTTCTTTATTAAATAATGGCTCTAAAGCTCAAGCCAACCAAGTAACGTTTGATAAGAAGGCACTAGTCACTCTTCTTCACATCCTTCCTCTGTCATCTATTCCGAAAAACCTTTAGTTCCAGACTTAACTGCGTTATGTATCATCATGAACTTATTTTTATTGAGCCGATTGGTTTGGTTTATTTAATTATGGCAAAGCACACTAGGGCTATCTGCCTAAGGAGCGGGATGCCTTCGTGGAGGTGTGTGTGTGTGTATTTAATTATGGCAAAGCACACTAGGGCTATCTGCCTAAGAGGAGGGATGCCTTTCGTGGAGGACTTTCTAAGGGAAACTGGCTCGTATACACGTCACACATGGGGAAAACCACGAAAACGCCCATGCAGCCAGCCCGTTCGCGCGATTCGAACCTCAGACTGAAATACCAATGTTCAGCGACTTTACCGCTCGGCCGCTGGTGGGCCTTATTGAGCCGAATTCGACGTGCTTCGAGCTATATTCGAAACTAAATCATTAGGTTTAAAGTTTATGCACTGTCGTTAGAGACTTGAAATAAATGGCTATTCGAATAAGAAAAAGGTGGACATCTTCGTCCGCGTTGCGAAAGACGGCATATGTGGGGAAAAATAAAACACCCTTCAGATCTTAATCACCTAACGTGCGACCATACATTCTGTGATAAATGCTTGTTTCGATATGTCCTGCCACCTCTTGGTTTTCCACTAGTTTTAAAACGCCCTGTTCACGAACAAATAAATGATAATATAAGCGTGTCAACATAGCTCTGTGATATTTATACTTGATATATTTTTATGGAAGAAGATCAATATTTTCTTTGCAGTTCGAGTCCACTAGTCACATTTTCCCATACTTTCATTATTTAAGGTTGATTTTATAGAAAGTAGAATTTTCGTAATATTTCGTTGCAAGACTGGATTAAAAAAGTGCTTCCCGTTTAAAATATCCAGCATCTCTGTCATCTTCTGTTGAAGAAACATAAAAAAATTCTAGGCAATGTATACCGAAACCGGTTAAATTAAATGCATCGCGTAAATGGAAGTCAAGTCTCGCGTGAATGAAATCTGTTAAATGAAGCCCGTTAATAAACTTCAAAGTCATGAACAAATTTTGGATTTCCTTTCAAATGCCAATGAACTGGTAGTAAAACAATTTTTAGATAATAGGTGCTAAAAGTAATAGTTGTTAATCTTAAAACCAAATCATCGGAATAGGTGCTTAAATTGGAAGCATATGATGGAAGGCAGAGCATACCTCTGCTCCATGGATAGAACAAATAAGCCACAGGTTACGCTACATGCACCTAAGCATTGTCTTACTGAATGAAGGGAGAATTATGTAAAAAATATTGTCACTTCATTCCCACCGCACACAAAGAGATACGATACGATATGCATTATGATAACGCCACCAGAGTCGTTAGATGTAAATCACTTCAATCTTCACATTAGGGTTTTGATGAGCTTTTTATGACTGCGATGATTCTTGGTGATGTTACTTGTTTTATTGGAGTTCTAGTTTTGGCTTCCACTATGCTATATATATATATATATACGTCGTGATAAAAAGGATAGAATTTCGGGTGAGTTGGTGGTTCAAAGTTATGCAGCTTGGATGTTCTTGAAAGACGGATAATGGAGCCAAAGATTCAAAGTCCTTGCAGTTACTTGCAGAGTCGTAGCTAGGATTTTCAGTGACCCAGAGACAACTGAAGATTTGGAACCCTACTGCTTGCCAAGAATGGAAAATATTTAATTCTAAAATTTCATAACATCAGTTTGGCGCCCCCTAGATGCTGCGCCCGGGGACAGATGTCCCCTCTTGATCTCCTCTAGCTACGCCCCTGGTTATTTGTAAGCACGGTATTGTCAAAGTCTCACTAAGACATGCGAAGAATCCGCATTGCACTTCAGAACGCTGAAACGGTGGCTAAAAGCTTTCAGTGAGCGATACTGTGTGACAAATATATGACAGAGATAAGACAAAAAATACGAGTATAGCATTATAGAATCTCGATCTCTTTGGGAGCATAAACTAACGAGCAGTAAAAGATTGTATGAGGAAGGTCTTTGAGTGCAATAGAAGTTCAAGATAGGGGTGTAAAGAACCCTTTATTCACTCAAACTGCTTTCACTGATGACACCCAATTGCGCTTATACAAGGCCAACACTTCTGGCCGATGTCTCATATAGCGTAATGATCTTCCTTTATAAAGCCTCTCTTTTATCTCATAGCGCTACAAATGGTTTAAGGAACGTCGCATCATAGCCATCTCCGAGAGCTTAAGACCGCTGAACACCGGTACTTTGGCCCTAATTCAGACACTGCGTGGGTGTTTTTTGTGGTTTTCCTCATGCAATTACTTGAATACGAGCCGATTGCCCTTAGAAAGGCATCCATCAGGGAGGTAATCATTATGTGCATATTTAAATAACCTAACCTGCTCCAAGAACAGCATTAGCTACGTAGATTGCCAACTCACAAGAGATTTTGTTTTTATCGTCACAGCACAAGATCTAACATTGGAAGAGAAAAATAAACTCGTACGGAACTAACATGAAGTGAAGTGAGTAGCACTAGTTCCTTTTCATGGTGTATATACAGCAGTGCCGGCACTATTAAAGTTTCAACCTATGTATGAGCATTTAAAAAATAAATTATGCTTTTCAAATAAATAAGTAGTACAGTGCTTTCGGCAAATCCCGGAAGCTTTCTTAACCCTGAATAATTAATCTTATAATTATAATTCGGGAAACTAACTAGACAAAATTTTATAGAAAATAATGTGAATATGTTCAATTTCGTTTTTACCTTTATACGCCATAGTAAAATTAACTCAAGAGGAAAATTTGTTTTAAAATGTAAACATTTACTTTAATTAACTTGAAAGAAAAACTTTCTATTTAAAGCAAGCTTAAATATAATAACATTTTTTGGCTATTATTTTAGGTTGGTGATCATATTGAAAAAATTAATGACGTGTCAATGGTTGGCTGTCGGCACTTCGAAGTTGCTAAACAACTGAAGGACATACCCAAGGGATACGTTTTCACTCTCAGGTTAATTGAACCGTTGAGAGCTGGTTTCTGTAAGTAAAGTTTAAATATTTTATATTCTTTTCTTGAAATTCAAGCAAATATTTTACACGAAATTAAAGTAGACTTGAAATTAAAGTATAAGTTTACATATTTTTTGTTGCTTTCGCTGCTTTCCCTCAATTGCATTGTCATGTTGTAGAGACATTAGGATCTTCTTGAAAGAAGGCAAGATGAAAAATGAGCAATCGCCTTCGCCGAGAATCGAACCACGGACCTCTGGAATACCGGCCCAGCGTGCAGAACCACTACACCATGAAAGCACGCTAAGAAGGCGGGAGAAAATAAATTATATACCCTCCTTTTAAAGGGCGACTGGGGTTTTTAGGGGACCCAATCGCCAAATCCTGGGTGTGGAAAGTCATCATCCCCAACCCTTTTAGTTCGGGCGCCACTGTAGAGACACTAGGATCTTTTTTGAAAGCAGGCAAGATGAAAAATGAGCAATCGCCTTCTCCGGGAATCGAACCACGGATCTCTGGAATACCGGCCCAGCGTGCAGAACCACTACACCACGAAGGCACGCTAGGAAGGCGGGAGAAATACCTTATAATGTCTTTAAGCAGAAATTGCTTTCTCATGTGTTGTTAACGTTGTAGCCTTTTGTTTAATAGGGACAGATTACATGATCCACTGAAGCTATCTTAAGTTGCACACAATGCCGTCTTAAAGCATGGACTGTGCCCTGGGCTCCGCGAATTGGAGGGCTCATATTTTGGCTAATTTATTTTTATTTTTGAGGAAGATGACTTACTTAAAGGCCTCAGAATTTACAAAATAACAGGGCCGAATGAATCTCTTAACAGAATCTTGGTTTTATGTTCTGGCTTCGATTCCAGTTTGAGCAATAAATCCTTGTTATCCTACTATTCAATCAAATATCACATTGCAATAGTTTTACACATATTCCACTCGAGAAAAGTGGATAGACTACATTTTAGAACTATTTATCTAGTGATATAACAATTATTTTACGTAAAACTGCTTATAGTATATATGTATCATAAAAGGAAAGCAGTATTACAAGATTGAATAAGTAAGATAAATTGTTAAAAAATTATCAAGTATTCCAATAATTTTAAAACAGTTTGTTTATTCTGAGGAAATTTTGCAATTAAATACAAACATTTACTCCAGATTTAATTAAAATTTTGAACTAAAAATTCAAATTACAGTGTAGTTCACTGAACTAGACATGGATAAATCTGTGCATAAAAATATCACAAGATATTGCTACTGTGGCAGCTTTATTTATATTCATCATAAACTCAAACTTCCAGCACATAACACATTAGAAACTTCTGTGATGCATAACTAAATAGATTTTATTTCTACCTGAGTTGGCTTCTGTAGTTTTTATTATAACCATAACATAAGAATTTATAATGCAACATCATTTACTATTAGCACAGAATTGCCGAATTTCTTCGCGTAGTTTCCTTTTTTTTTTAACTAATTTTATCCTCCGAAAATCGAGATAGGAAAAATTATACGAATAATTTAATTTCCGAAGGGCGCAATTACAGTAAGAATGAAAAGTATTCATGGATAAACTACCTGTAACTATAACAGTATTAAAGAAACGTACGTTACAATAAGAATGCAAAGCAATATAAACATTAAAATATATAATTAGGTATGTTCATTTCTACTTCCGTGTAACTTTAATCGCGACCATTCTTATTGCTGTCTGTCATACGTAGGCCTTAAATCATCCATAAATAATTATAGAAGGTGCATGTGCAGTTTACTCAGGAAATCATAAGCTAAATGTCGATTCGTGTTTGTTTCGTTGTGATTGGTCGGTTCTTCTATTAAGCTGGCATGAATTTCAATAATTAGAAAAGCAAGATGCGACGTGACCTTTGCAGGTAGTTTATGAGAGTTTGTCTTTGATAGTAAAAGCTCTATTATATCTAGCGACGCGCGCGGCTAGGTGGAACATTTCCGAGAAACGAGATACTAGCAGCACTGGTTTAAACGGCAGGTTTCCGAGAAATGTTCCATCCAGTCGAGGAAGAGATGTCCCGGCTAGGAGGAACATTTTGAAACTTTTCCGAAAATATTTCGTTTGCAGCTATGTTCCACGTAGAGATCAACCAATCAGACTAAAGTTCTACTTCTGAAGGATCACGGGTAATTTTCAATATTGCGATGGCTGCAACTGTGAGATCCTGAACGGTGAAAATAGAAGCCGATTTAATTGAAGAAATTTGGAAAAATCCATACATATATTGCTGTTTTGTTGTAGTATAACTGTCTAGGTCATTTTTAAAATGTTTATATATTCATTAAATTTATAATCGTGGAAATTTTAGAGTAGACAGTATATTATTGACGTGCTATTTCTGATGATTTGTTTACAAATTATTCGCCGCTGAAAGTTCGCCAAATTTGTCGTATTTCGTACTGATTGTGTGAAAAGAAATGTTATTGTTATATAATAGATTTTTTTCTTAAATTTAAGATGAATAATTTTTTTAAATCTGTTTGTATAAGCGCGACTTTACTTTTCAGCTAATTACTTTTACTACTTTTCAGCTAATTACTTTTACTACTTTTAAACTGAAATTGCATAATCAGCGACATACAGTAAACAATATAAAATGTGGGTAGAAAAGGAAAACACAACTTATGTAATAATAATAATATACAAAATTTGTACGCTATTATTTTCATGTTATTAATGAAATACTTTTAGATCACAAATACATTAAGAACTATATTTTTATTATAAATGCTACATATTGAAACATTGGAAACATTTATTATTATGAATAATGAAAAACATTTGTATATGCATTCAATAATATAAATCTTATTCATTACATTAATACTAATAAACATACATCAACAACTTCTAAAAGCCATTGCATCTCTCTCTCTATGTGTATGTAAATATATGACTTATTAGATCTGTGTGTATATGTTACGGTGAAACACCGAAATCTGGAGAATGTCGACTTTCACCGGTGAATGTCAACATTCACATAGTCGCTTGGTGCATGTCCGAAATATTTTCCAAATACTCTTATTTCTGACTTACACCGGTAAATGTCGACATTCACTATGCGCTAATAGTGAATGTTGAACATATAAGAATATTATATTTTCTTCTCCATAATTCAGTCTCGAAAAAACGCACTTGAGACTTAAAATGAGAACTTAAGAATATAAGAACTTAAAACACACAGTACATTCAAAATGAGAAAGGAAAATAATAGAAGTTAAAAACTTACTAAATTATGTGATTCAAATCTTATTTACTGCAACAACTTAAACTATTAGGACACTTTGAATTGCACAAGAGGTCCTTGCTTTTACAACTGCATTTATTTGTGGAACACTTCCTTTTGCAATGACAGCACGTACATATACTCCTCTCTTTTCGACCTACACCAGAGCATATCTGTGATTGTCGACATACACCGGTGAGGGTCCGAATGTACAAGAATGTAATGCAATATTCGATCTTTCACCAACGCATTTGGTGAATGTTGACATTCTCCGGTGAAAGTCGACATTCTCCAATTTCGGTCTTTCACGGTAACATATATACATGCAAGATAAAAAATATAAAAGCAAACTTTAATTTTAATTGGCAATAACCTCTTTTAGTTTTATTTAATTTGGGGACTTCTCTCAGTCTAAAAATAGCGCCATAAGTCTAAACTGCGTCATTCAAATTAATCAAGCGATCGTACGTAGCGCTTACTGCAAATGTCTCTGGCCCAATCAGAATAATTGTAAACCAAAAACTTTCACTTCGTCCCTTCTGACTCTGCATTAAATTGCATATTTATTTAAATTCACATTTTGTGGCCACAATTCACTTGGCACTCCAATCGTGCCCACTTCCAAAACATTCACTATTTTGATACTATACCGGTAGAAGCTATCAGAGCAGCTCATAGATGACTTTGACTTTTGCTCCGAGATGGTGAGTTTCTTGCCTTCACAGAGCCGTACAAATTGTGCTATGGTCTCATTACTGTTACTTTCCAGCTGGTCTCTCGATTTGCCTCTGATGATAAATGTCGCGTCATCAACAAAAGCAATCACCTTTGTGTGGGTTGGCCACAGTGCTTTGAGAATGGAATTAAAAGTTGCATTCCATAGGTCAGGACCTGCACATGAACCCTGAGGGCAGCCCCTGGTCTGCTTTCTCTCAACAACTCCTCCGTCATGCACTGCTACAAGAGTGCGATCAGAGAGATAACTTTTGCACACCTGCAGCAGATTATCAGGGATCTGAGCGTCGTGAAGTGCTTCCAGGATTGCTGGCCACGACAGGGAATCGAACGCACTTTTCAGATCCAGACTGAGTACGGCTACATGGTTGTTAGAGTCATACGCGTCATAGCTTCCCTTTTGTATGGCACTAAGAGCTTGGATAGTGAGCGCTGCTCTCGAAAACCATACTGAGAGTCCGTGATCTCACCCTTAATCTCCAAGTAATACTCTGAACTAAAAGTTTCTCATAAATTTTCCCTATGGCGGGCGGGAGACAGATGGGCCGGAATGAGGCCGGATCGTTCGGGTCCTTTTCTTTCTTTTGGAAAAGAATAACTTGCCCTGTCTTAAAGGGGTCTTAAGTATTTGATCGTACACAAACCAGGTCAAACTCTTGCAAGAAATCCAGTTTTGAAACTAAAGGGCCGTACAATCAAACGAACTCGGGAGCTAAAACTGCTGGGGCTTATAATCGATGAAAAGTTCTCCTGGCTGCCTCATCTCAGAGCAGTCCGCGCGAGGACACACGCAATTGCAAATACCTTAAGGAGGCTTCAAGGCTCAGACTGGGGCCTTAGACCACATATCCTAAAAATCCTCTATCAGTCCGTCGTGGAAAAAATGGCCCTCTATGGAGCGGCAATCTGGGGAACTCCAATGAACAAAAGGAAAAGGAAATTGCTCAGTAGTATACAACGCCCCTTGGCTCTGGCTATTACAAAAGGATACCGTACAACATCGACAGCGGGAGCCACAATAC